TACCACTACTTCCGCCACCGCCACCGCCACCGCCTCCGTCGGTGGGGGTAAATCCCACGAGTGCTCTATTTGTCACAAGTCTTTTCCGACTGGCCAGGCCTTGGGCGGCCACAAGCGTTGCCACTACGATGGCGGAATCAACAACACCACCACCACCAACAACAACAACGCCACTGTGACATCGTCGGAAGGAGTTGGGTCCACCCACACAAAAAGCCACAGCCACCGCAACTTTGACCTCAACCTCCCTGCTTTGCCAGAATTATCACCGGGATTCTTCATCTCTGCCGGCGACGACGAGGTCCAAAGCCCATTACCTCTGAAGAAGCCTCGTGTATTGACGATTCCCAAAATCGAAATTTCTCAAAATTAACCATTCAAAATCCATCCAGTTTCCAGGAATCTTAGGGGAAGAAACACAATTTCTTAGGATTTGTTCGTTTAATAGATTGATTTGTTTGTGTAAATAGAAGAAAGTAGAAATTAAATCACAACCCCCACCCACCCATTTATCGCGCTTTGTTGCTTCAACACCTATACCCACTGTTCTTACAAGTCTATCCACATGATAAATTCAATTGATTATTTTTTCCACATTGCTAATTTTCTTCAGCAGCGCATTCAATTCCCGTATGAAAATTGATAAAACGTGTAACTAATAACATCTACTGAATAAACAAATGAAATTCAAAGCACGCAAGGAATCGGCATATCATGGGAAGTCGGCGTGGGCAATAGATGATGTCACTGTTTGTTGCGCGTTTTAAACGTCGTTCTCACATCTTCAAGCCCAAGCCCCATTCCATTTTGCGGTCTGGGTCTCTGTTTCTTCGCCTTTTCTGGAGAAATTTCCATGGCGGCGATGGCTACTGACTTCTATTTGGATCGATTCTTCTCCGAGTGGGTAACGCACGCCAGGGTGTTGAATGTAATTAGCTCAGTGGAGCCTCCAACCTTTTGTTTTATTTATTTATGTACGACGCGTGTTATTAATTGTGTTTGTAACGCTAACGCCACAGAAACGTGGAAAATAAAACATCCCTCTCTGTTCTTTGAGGGTATTCTTCTCGCAGCTGCAAGTCCATGGGGTGGCGGATTCTGATTCTGCCACCTACCCAAGTAAGGAAAACCCATAAGGATGGAACCCCATCTTGGATTTTTAAACATATTTGTAATTCTTCCCAAGTGGGTGCAAAATTTGGGGAAGTAAAGATCCGATTTTTATGGACTCTTTCCACAAGGGAAGGAAGGATTTAGGCGAAGGCACCGCGTCCGGAATCTTCTCCAAAAAGAGCTAGCTACCCATGAGTTGCGCCATAAAGCAAGAAACTGCAACGGCATATACCATTTTGAGTCAAATTATGTTCCTTTTTAATGCATTTAGCGCACTTTAGGAAACTGCAGATCAATTGCGCTGTACGCGTAAACAGAAATAATCCTTATGATTAAGCCAACGCCAGCTAATATGGGGGTTTTGACGATGGATTTTCGTGGGGGGAGGAACACAAAGCAATGACTTTTTCAGAGGGTGTGTCTGAAAAGTAGGCTTTGCGTGTGGGGCGTTGAGTTTGAATGCTTACTGAGTTTCATTTAAAGATGACGACGCCGGACCCAAAATAGTTAGATATTAAGAATGAAATATAAAAAAGAAAAGTCAAGTAGGGAGCTTAGTGTCCAAAAAGAAGACCCATTTCATGTGATTTGCTGAGAAGAGAGAAAGGAAGAAGGCCCCACTAATGGCGTTGGAGTTGGTTTGAGGGGCGGTGAGATCGGCCAGTGGGGGCAACGCATATGGATATAAAAATGGGGTCGGCCGACCAAGTGGAGAAACAGGGCATTCAAGTGGGTGTGGTTTCTAAGTACATGGAATTTCAATGAGCCGCCCACTTTGGGTTTATGGGAATTGAGTGATGAGGAGCCACCGCCTTTGCCACCGCCTCTGCACCCGCCGCCCTCCGGGGAGGAGGAGGCTCCAGTGCGGTTCAGGATTTTGGGTACAGTTAATCTCCCATTTACCTCACGTTGAATCACAACCAGTACTCCTTGTTCCCTACAAATTACAAACCCAAATTCAGTAACTAAAAACTGACGAAGAAACGAACTACACAAGGGGAAAGCCTCCGGAAACGTTATTTCTGAATGGAGAGCAAACACCAAAATTCTAAATTTTGTTTGAAGCTTGGGCCCAAAGTTTCATTTGAGTTAGACACCATAGGCTCAAATGATTGTTTAACTGGAACATGGGCGCCCAAGTTATGAATTGGGCTTGCATCTCAAGCCTAAATGGTCCAAAGATGTGATAGCAGCATCTTTGATGGTTGCTGACAAGCAAGTTTTCTAAGAAACGCCAATCTGGAATATGCAGCGTTAACTTTTACACCCATAAACAACAAATAACAAATGGCAAACAATTCCTTCTGTGGTGGTGTGTTGAGAGATTATTGGGAGGGAGTCACACTAATGAGTACTCATTAAGGAGATAATAATAACTTTATAGGTAAGGAAATACATCCCCATTGATATGAGTTATACCCTTGCCTTAGCATGTCAATAAAATTCTCAACTGTCAAACAACAAAGTTGCTAGCGGTAAAGGTGTAGTCAAAAGTGACTTAAACAAATGGTATACACTCTTCTAATGCTCAAGAGGAAGGAGTCAATGAAAGGCGGTTTGAAAGCTACATAGGCTTCCCTTAGGGGAGGCTCTATGGTGTACTTCCTTTGAGATGATGATTGTTGAGATTTATAAGTAAAGAATACATTTCGGTACAAACCACGAGAGTATATCATTATGAAAGTCGTAATTGTTAAGATCATGTGCATAAAACATAGGTCATAATTCTAATAAGCTATCGCACTTTTTAGGCCTCCATTGGGCAGTCAAACCAACTCTCCACCAATCTCTGTCTCTGCGTTTAATGATTTGTATGCATGAAATGAGTACAGATGCAATCGCTTCTGCGTTCTGGGGTTTGTCAATGATCAAATCCCACCACTTTGATTGGTTTGACAGTGACTGTTTTGGAACTTAAATGTTAGAATCAAAAGCAAAAGCCTTTTCCACCGTAGTGGCCATTGTACAACCTCTGCTCCCTCCATATATTTCCCTAACTTTTCTCCACATTTCATTGCCATATGCCAAAAGATTGTCAATTATTGTGTTCAAACCAACGGAGGAGAAAAAAACTTGGTGCTGTCAACTCCCATCTTTCAAATTCACCACTAGATGCCTAAAGCCTCTCGTGCCTTATAGCCACGCTCTACAGAACTCTATACTTAAACATGACACAATTTATTTAAATTTTACTGTCACTCTAGAAAAGAAAAATATGGAATTCAACTTTATTTGATCATAGTAAACATGTTCATAAAATGAAACGAATTAAAGTGGCATCTTTTGATATTTGTGGGGGTAGACAGGAGTTGAGGTAGGCTTTAATGGAGTCCCAATAGTGATATGAATTGTAAAGCATCCCAAGCTTTGAGCAAGATTGTGAGGAGAGGCATATGATTGGTGGGAAGAGATTCCCCTGTTTCTTTTCATTTTTGTGCAGTTTTTTTATTGGATAAGTGGCTTGGTTGGTCTGGCTGTTTCAGGCAAACCCACTCCTTTACCTCCATTTCTATGCAATTTTCCAATCCCCAACCATCCTATCCTATGCTTTTCTTCTTACAAATAATGGATAAAGTTCCACTTTTTTTAGGTAATCTACTAAATGCTTCATACTTCAATGTCTCTGACCATTCCTTCTAACTTAATTCGACTCGTTAAAATAGGATAGATCTTTCGATATTCAAAATATATTATATTCGGTTGGTGGTCACTCAAGATCTAGCTATGGTCATTGTCTTTTTATTCACTATAATGACATGTGATCTTAAAGACCCGTCTTCTGAGTCATGGTTGTTAGATGGATAGCATCTTGCAAATATGGTTGTAAGAGCCAAAGCCTACCGCTGCTAAATATCGTCTTATTTGACCGACTTTTCCTTTTAGGCTTTTCCTCAATGTTTTTAAATGCATCTAGTATGGAGGGTCTAGCCCTACTCTGACTAGTGTCTCGCACCGTCTAACGTCGAGCTTTGATATCAATTGTAACAACCCAAATCCACCGCTAGCAGAAATTGTTCTCTAAGGGTTTTCCCATCTGGGCTTCCCCTCAAGGTTTTTAAAACGTGTCTACTATGGAGAGGTTCTAGCCTGACTCCAACCAGTGTCTCGCACCGTCCCGCGCCGGGCTTTAATATCATTTGTAACAGTCCCAGCAGCAAATATTGTTCTCTTTGGATTTCCCCTTCTGGGCTTTCTTTCTAGGTTTTAAAATGTATCTACTATGAAGAGGGCTTAGCCCTACTCCGACTAGTGTCTTGCACCGTCAAGCAACGGGGTTTGATATCATTTGTAACAGCCCAAGTCCCTCGCTAGCAGATATTATTCTCTTTGGATTTTCCCTTATGGGTTTCCCCTCAAGGTTTTTAAACGTATCTACTATAAAGAGGTTCTAGCCCTACTCTGACTAGCAACAGGTTCTGATACCGTTTGTAATAGCCCAAAGCTATCGTTAGTCAATATTGTTCTTTTTTAACTTTCCCTTCTATACTTTACGTGGAAGATGAATAATGGAATACAATAATAAAAAAGAAAAAGAGAGAGGGTTGAAGAGTTAATAGAGCGGTTGTTGACATAAAATAAGATTTAATATAATAATATTGAGTGTATGATTTAAAAAACGATGACGTAAGCTTGTAGTCCCCACAATTAATTATAATTTAAAAAATACAACACTAAAATACAAATTTGCTTCCTCAACTTGAATGGTGATATTTAAAAAGCATGAGAATATGAAATTAGATTACAATTCTAAATAATTTTAATACAAAATAAAGGGTAAAATCAACATTAATATTTTATATAATTAATTTTATATAATTGAAGGATTGGGAGGAGAAGGGAAGGAGGCGTGGAAACACGGAGCCGCTCTCGCCCAGAGTTTGGAAGATTAGAAGATATTGATTCGGCTTCCGAACGCCAAATAGTGGGGGCCCACAACCCCTTTTACAAAGTCCACCGTCAACATTCTGACATGTAACTTAACCAGGGTTAGTTTTGTAACCCGAATGCCACCAAACAGCATTTCCAATTTTCTCGTCTTTTTAACCCACTGCCTCACTTCTCCGCCATTCCCAACACACTTCTCGCCCTTCTCCATCCTTAATATTATTATTATTATTATTATATAATTATTCCCTCTTCTGTTGCTTCTGTGTAAAGGATCCTGTTTTATTCCCAATTGAAGGCGAAGGATGAGTTGCAGCGGCTGCAGAGTGCTTCGAAAGGGCTGCAACGAAGCTTGCGTTCTAAGGTCCAGTCTCCACTGGATTCATTCGCCGGAAGCCCAAGCCAACGCCACCTTGTTTCTCGCTAAATTCTTTGGCCGTAGTGATCTCTTGTCCTTCATCGCCGCCGTCCCCCATCATCAAAGACCTGGTAACTTCCTTTTTCTTCTTTTAAAATTCCGTAATCAACTCTGAGATTTTCCCCTGTTTCTTTCTTCAAGCTCTGTTTCAGTCTCTGTTATTCGAGGCTTGCGGCCGCACCGTCAACCCAGTTAGCGGCGCCGTTGGTCTCTTGTCGAGCGGGAACTGGCACGTCTGTCAGCTGGCGGCGGAAACCGTTCTCAGCGGCGGAGTTCTCCGCCCCATACCCGGAATCGAACTTTCGGGAAATCCCACGCGCAACGTCGATGATTCCTCCCTTACTTCCAATACCGATGTCTGGACCACCACCGGACAAAATCTTCAACTCTACCCATCCACTCCGTCGGATTTCCGGTGCCTCCCTGATCTCGCCGTCGCCGCCGTAAGAGCGAAGAATCATACCCCGGAGAATCGGCGGTCTCTAGATTCCGAAGACTCGATCATGACCAGCTTCGGAAGCGGCGACCGACGGAAACAGAGGAAGCTTTTAAATTTATTCATCTGAAAAAGAGAAAAAGAGAAAAAGAGAGAGAGAGATTATTGGAATTTTGTTTTTGAGTTTAGTAGCGCTATGGCGGTGTTATAGAGATAACGACAGCGAATAATCCAATGAGATTTAATAATGAGTTCGTCACACTCAATCTTGTTCCACCGGTGAGTTGACCGGAGTTCGGACATATTTATCCCTCTCTTTTAAATAACCTAACCTTTACGGTAATTCTGATAAATATGAAGTGTAATTGTACAAAAAGAGAGAGAGAGGTTGCATGGACAATATTTTTTCGTTTTTATTTTCTTCAATCAACGAAATCGAAAAAAAAAAAATAAATAAAAAAACGTAAAATTTTATTTATTTTTGTAGATCGGAATTGAAGAAAAATATAAAATATTAAAAATTGAATGGAGTAGTCTGTTGGCGGCTGAGAGTGAAGCAGCGAACCCACTCCGATTATGCCAAGTGGAGGATAAGTGGACCATAATTAGATGATTAAATAAATGTGATAATGGAAGTCACATAAATTTCCAAGATATCTCCAAATGCGAAGTATTTGGCGTGATTGGATCAATTTTAAAAACCTTAACAAAACATAACTATTTTTTTAAATTCACAGTCTACATATTATTTTATTGGACTTGATGTGGAAAATTAGATAAATAAAGAAATGATACATGATTATAACATTAAATTATGCAACTTGACCCATATTATAATTATATTGGTGTACATGAATTTACATTTATTCATTCAATATTTTGACCACTCTAATACTTCCATCAAAATCAAATGCTTTTTCATAAAATAAATAAATAAATAAATAAATAAATAAATAAAAAGAGATGATTGAATAGAAAGGAGCGAGTGAGGTGAAGAGAGGAAGGGGAGGATGTTGCATGCCGAGTCGACCCCAAATTGGAATCCACTCTTTAACTCTCTTCCCTAATAATAATATTAGGAGTTTTAGCAACGAATCTTGAGAGGGGGTTGGGTCCCATTATATTTTAAATATTTTATATATATGTATGTATGAATCCAAATTATTATTTAAAAAAGAAAAAAGAAAAAAGAAAAAAGAAAAAGAAAATGGTGCGGTGCACGTCAGCATGGCCCACCACACACCAGAAGTGGGTTCCACGCCATTATCACCACCATTCGCCGATTCCGATTGTTTTTTGTTTTTCCCTTTTACAAAAGCCAAGCCACGAGCCAAACAAGATGATGACATCAGATGCAATATAAAAAAAAAAAAAAAAAAAAAAAAAAAAAAAAAAAAAAA